AGTCCTCGTTCGTGCATACGTATGTGTACACGAATATTTTATTTGTATATGTGACTTGCATGAGTCCCTATATGTTTAGTGGGTATATGCAGGTATACTTGAACTGTACATGTTGACTCCGAAAAAGTTATTAAGCAACACTGCATAAAAAAGCCCGACCTATGAAATAATACAGTTTTGCACAATGATTTGGTCTAGCAGTTGTCGATTACAAAGGAAGCAGTAGCTATGAATGAAAAGTGACGTTATTCGCATGCCATTAGTTTAACTGCAGACAAATTATTACCGATCACTACACGTCTATATGACTATCTTCAACTCACGTTTGTCTAAATTGTGGCACATTCACCTTTCAAGAAGCCTGATTCAATTATTCAGATCACGTTTCCTTGGGATCAAGTAACGACTTCTACATATATCGTCACTATCGGTCAAATTATAAGACGGAATGCGGATGCCCGTTCAATCGTGTAACGCATAGATTTTAAATGGTAAAAGTATTGTGAATACCGCTGTAGCTTTTTTTGGTTGATTCTTTTGTTTAAATTATTGATCAATCAACTGAATCAACGTCCATATGTAAAATAACTGCCGAGAAACCTGTTTGGTTGTTTTTTTCAAAGGTTCATAATCATTTGTGTCATAATCTGTTATACATTCTATCATTTTCACAGTGAAACATATTTCATGAGCTACATATTTTCATCTTTAAAAGCTTAGAAAAGTTTTGATGTTTGGTACGTGATGTGATTTCATATGGCTAGTAAGAGCTGTTACTGTAATTAACATATTGTCTCAAACTTATTTTTTTCTGGTTAATGATGCTTTTTAAGCCTCTCCTTGTCGTTTCCTTCTCGGAATAGCTCCCCATCGACTGTAGTGAACTCGTTCTCTTTATTTGCTAAACCTTCGGAAAATCGCACAAATTGTCTTACTGTTGTTTTTTTTGTATTGATTTCGTTTCTCAATTTATTGTTTGATGATGAATTCAACAACAACGACGGTTGAATATGTGCTGCCGAAGGTAGTATCTTGGAAGCCAAGACATAAGGCACTCAGTCGATACGAGTTTGCTGTATACACAAATCAAGCCAATTTATGCAATGATAGCAACACTCATAAGAGGGCCCTCAAGTAACCTACTTAAATAATCCAGCGACGAATGAGAGTCATGGAGAGTTTATCAAATATAATATGAAATAAGTAATCATGGAAAAAAATGACTATGATTCTCGGAGTGATAAAACCCTTGGATATAATGTTCGAAAATGTATCGGTGAATTGCAGACTACAAGATTAGCAATAAAAGCACTGTTGTACTGACTACGGCTGTAGGACCGCTCACAGTTGTGTTTTCAGACTAGCTGACACTAGACGGAAACTTTTGCTTTTATATCGACTGGGTACCTCACTTTCGAGCGATAATCTTTCACGTTAAATCAACTGTCAACCTAGAGTGACCGGGTAAAGATAAGTAATTATGCAATGACCCTCATTCGATTGTCTCTAATTTTATCAGTATTCTTACAGCTTACTATCGTTTCAAAAAGTCGTTAAAAAATTATTACGTTCACAGTAGTATCGATGTGATATATTTGATATATTTTTTCTCAAATATTAGTATGTTACAAGAGACATGCCAGTTTACATGCTGGATCAAATTATTACAAATGCTACCACATTAACTGCGATAGTTATCACAGTTGAATTACTTATGAGTGTAAATTTCTGACAGCACATTTACCCCATATCACTGACTGCAACAGTTTGCAAAAGTCACATCGTGAATGGGTCAGCACAAATAAGAAAGGAAAATGGAAGGGTTCTTGGTTGGTGATCATAGATCAGTAAAGAGTTTGTTTGGAAAAGGTCAGTTGTAAAGCGCTTGATGAAAGCTGTGACTTATGGGTGTGTTTATATAAATTGCATGTCGTCTAGAAGCACTCAGTATGTTTCACTGTGAATACGGTTCTGAGAAAATCGAAAAGAGAGAGAATAAAGCGCAGCAACGAAGCAATTGTATAAGTATATTCAAATTACCGCTTTAATTGACATAATGAATTAGACAATACACTGATAGTTCAGGTCAGCTAAACAACACAGATGAAGGCGTACAGAAATAAAGAAGGAAAAGTTGTGTAAAGCGTGAAGTAGACCGAACTGAATTTGCAATAACAAGCTGTAGGTCTGTACATTGAACTTGAGAGTTCAGTAAAAAGGGACAAACATTTTCATCATATTTTTTTCACTGTCAATCATTGTTTTTCATATGACAACCTCGAAGACATACTTGAGTGCAATGAGAAAGGATGATGCGATTCGTCTTCAGATAATAGGTACTTTAAGCATTGACATGGAAACATGAGTCTGAGAAGTTGTAAGAGTATCACTGTTTCGTCGCTTTATCAATCAACAAAGACGAAAACAAACAAAATGTTTTCCTTCACAAACAAGTCAGCGCACACTAGTCAGTAAATTCATCCTCCTTTCTTTTCTCGTTGGTAGAGTCATGCAAAATGAATAAAAGAAAATATTTTGCGTTCTAATGAAGCTTTATATTGGTCAGCACCGGTCGACCCAATGAATAAGCAGTTTATTTCGAGTAGAATCTAAAGAGCTTTGTAATAAACTATCTGAGGTTTGTTGCTTCTTGGAAGGGTAAAACTTAAATAAACCTAACCGAATTGAGGGTATTTTAAATGTGTGCAAAGCTGTTAATAACGAAGCAGTTTGTGAGTGAGTTCACGCGTGCGGATGAATGAAGAGCTTCATTTTGAGGTTGTACAAGTTCACGATCTACAGTTACCATGCTTAATTTCCGTGGAAGTATATTCTATACTATTACATAATTAGTGAGGTAGCAGTTTTCGCCAGTTTAAGAGTAAAAGAA